GTGTGGTTTTCGCCCTGGCGGTGGAACAGTGGACCAGCTTTATACACTCTGCAGGATTTTGGAGGGTTCATGGGAGTTTGCCCAACCACTCTACATGTGATTTGTGGACTTGGAGAAGGCATTCGACCGTGTCTCTCGGGGAGGACTGTGGGAGGTGCTCCGGGAGTATGGGGTGCCGGGCTTCCTTTTAAGGGCTGTTCGGTCCCTGTATGACCGGTGCCAGAGCTTGGTCCGCATGGGCGGCAATAAGTCGGACTTGTTTCCGGTGAGGGTTGGACTCCGTCAGGGCTGCCCTTTGTCACCAATTCTTTTCATAGTTTTTATAGACAGAATTTCTAGGAGCAGCCAGGGCGTTGAGGGTGTCCGGATTGGCGACCTCAGGATCAGGTCTCTGCTTTTTGCAGATGATGTGGTTCTGTTGGCCTCATTGAACCGTGACCTTCAGCTCTCACTGGGACAGTTCACAGCCGAGTGTGAAGCAGCTCCAAATCCGAGACCATGGTCCTCAGCCGGAAAAAGGTGAAATGCTCTCTCCGGGTCGGGGATGGGGTCCTCCCCCAAGTGGAGGAGTTTAAGTACCTCGGGGTCTTGCTCACGAGTGGGGGGATGATGGAGCGGGAGATCAACAGGCGGATCGGTGCGGCGTCCGCAGTGATGCGGGCGCTGCATCGGTCTGTCATGGTGAAGAAGGAGCTGAGCCAAAAGGCAAAGCTCTCGATTTACCAGTCGATCTACGTTCCTACCCTCACCCATGGTCATGAGCTGTGGGTAGTGACCGAAAGAACGAGATCACGAGTGCAAGCGGCCGAAATGAGTTTCTTCCGCAGGGTGGCTGGGCTCTCCCTTAGAGATAGGGAGGAGCTTAGAGATAGGGTGAGGAGCTCAGTCATTCGGGAGGGACTCAGAGTAGAGCCGCTGCTCCTCCGCATTGAGAGGAGCCAGATGAGGTGGCTCGGGCATCTGATTAGGATGCCTCTTGGACGCCTCCCTGGTGAGGTGTTCTGGGCATGTCCCATGAGGCCCCGGGGAAGACCCAGGAAACGCTGGAGGGACTATGTCTCTCGGCTGGCCTGGGAACACCTCGGGATTCCCCCAGAGGAGCTGGATGAAGTGGCCGGGGAGAGGGAAGTCTGGGTTTCCCTGCTGAGACTGCTGCCCCCGCGACCCGACCTCGGATAGGCGGGAGAAAATGGATGGATGGATGGATTATTTGCTAATAGAGATCTTTCTGATTCTGCTTCTGAAACCTTGGGCAAGACAGGGTGGAAATGTACAACCATTATTTTACTGACCTCGATGCTGTATTTAAGTGAAAACATGCCTCTTGATGCTTCAGAATTTAGAGATCAGTGGTCATTGTTAACACACCACAGCACACAGTGCGCAACAACAAAATGTGTCCTCTGCCTTTAACCCATATGTGACTTTTGTGACATAGTAGGGGGCAGCTAATTCAGTGCCCGGAGAGCAGTGCTTGGGGCGGTACCTTGCTCAGGGTACCTCAGTGGTGCCTTGCTGGTTAGGGATTCAAACCAGCAATCTTTCAATTACAAGTGCGCTTCCCTAACCATCAAGCCACCACTGCCCACATCAGAAATTTAGCATCAGAAATTCCCAGAGTGTTTCCCTTTTGTTCCATTAATGCATCATTACACATGACATTGTATTTACACTGTTATTCTTGTGCTGTAACAGCCAATCAGATTCTTGTGTTATACCAGCCAATCAGATTCAAGCCACTCACACAGTGGACAAAGCTCCCCTAGCATTTCTTAGTCAGACAACAGATGACTGAAACCAGACAAAACTAAATATTCAAAAATTGGTCAATGATCCTATTTTCCTCTTTCTACTGGTATGATCTTGAACGTGGAACATGCCACATAATGTTCATAAAGTCCCACTTCCCCAAAAACACAATCATTTAAGATAATCGCCTTCGCAGAGGGAGGGAACCCAAACAATGCTAGAAACATTTAAAAAATTGCTATTAATAGACATAACGTCATCGCACTTTTGTTTTTATACTTCATTGAATAAAATGTGGCTAACAATAACTAACCACATTTCCCTTGACTTTGAAGAAATAATAAATAAAGTCTAAGGGCACATGAAAGCAGATCCTCGCCAGAAACACTGGGATATCACTCACTTTACCTCTTCTCTAAAGCAAGCCCCAACAATTATTCTGAAGAATTGAATATTCACTTATTAATGCCAAACTGAGCCTGCAGAAGTGCCTCTGGAGTCATTAATTTACCGAGTATCTCAGTAAATTTACAGAGAAACCTGTTTTTCTCAATTTTTTGCGAGCAGTCCTTTTGGTGTTGATCATATATTGGTTTAAAATATCACTAATAGAATATTTCACTGTTCTATTCACTGTTGCCTGTATAATAAGAGCTGTGTGTCACTAATACATAAGAGGTCCCATGTGGGTGATTATTTGCAGTTAGAATAACCCTGAGACTGATGACTCTGCCTCTCCATCACTCCCAGCTGGAAATGCTTTCCTACGTCAGTGTGTGTGTGTGTGTGTGTGTGTGCTAGTGCAGGTACCCAAGAATGACATGTAGAAGCCGATACAAAGGCACTGTGCTATGAATCCCTTTGCCTAGATGAAGAGGCA